AACACATGAAATCTAGGGCAGATAAACCCCTCAGGAACAATAATGGAAGTATTAATACAATGAGGGTACAGGAAAGGTGCCTGCCTCCCCTCCCCACCCTTGCTGGTGATGAACAACAGAAACATGGGTGAAAGGAGACAGCAGATGGTGTAAGATATGAAAATAATAATTTATAATTTATCAAGGGGCTTACGAGGGTAGGAAGGGAGAGGAGGGAGGAAATAAAAGAAGAAATGATACCAAGGGCTCAAGTAGAAAGAAAATGTTTTGAAAAGGATGATGTCAACATATGTCAAATGTGCTTGATACAATGGATGTATGGATTGTTATAAGAGCCCCTAATAAAAATAAATAAATAAAAATTTAAAGAGCCCACAATAAAATGATTTATTTTTTTAAGAAAAAGTAGAAAGCCTCATCTTCCTCTCTGGTTGTGGCTGGTGGTTTCAAACTGCTGACTTGCAGTTCACAGCCCAATACATAACCCACTGTGGCAGTTATTATTTTTATGTTGTCATATCTTACACCGTCCAATGTCTCCCTTCACCCACTTCTCTGCTGTCCGTCCCCCAGGGAGGAGGTTACATGTAGATCCTTGTAATCTGTTCCCCCTTTCTCCCTCACCTTCCCTCCACCCTCCCATAAAGCTCTTTCTTATATGTATATGTCTCCCTGGATTTGTGGAGTCTAGACTGTCAATAATTCACATTTGGAGGTACAACAGAGATAAATAGCTCGCTGGAGGCCAGATACAGTCACTCCCTGCGAGACATTCCTGTTGACAAGCCACAGGGAGCTATGCTAATGGCAGCCAGAGCCTTGGAACCGGAGGAGCCGCGTGGAGACCCACGCCAGTGTTAAGATGCTTCCATCGCCACTGGGTCCACAGACTTTCCACCCACTGGCCTGTGATCTCCCTGCACCCGGCGTCATTGCATGTGCTGCGTGAATCTAAAGAAGAACGTATGGACTAGTATCAGACATAGGGGCTAATATCGGACTTAAGGACTTGATCTGGACTGGGCTGGGATGTTTTCTTAATATAAAAGATATAAAGCTTTTTTTTAAATTAAATCATTTTATTGGGGCTTGTACGGCTCTTAGCATACTCTACACATACATCCATTGTGTCAAGCACTTTTGTACATTTGTTTCCCTCATCATTCTCAAAACATTTGCTTTCTACTTGAGCCCTTGATATCAGCTCCTCACTTTTCCCCTCCCTCCCTGCTCCCCCCTCCCCCATGCACCCTTGATAATTTATAAATTATTTTTATGTTGTCATATCTTACACCGTCCAATGTCTCCCTTCACCCACTTCTCTGCTGTCCGTCCCCCAGGGAGGAGGTTACATGTAGATCCTTGTAATCTGTTCCCCCTTTCTCCCTCACCTTCCCTCCACCCTCCCATAAAGCTCTTTCTTATATGTATATGTCTCCCTGGATTTGTTTCTCTAGTCTACTCAGACTAACACACCCAGCATGCCTCCGGGCTCCCTTGGGGAGTTGTATAACTATCCAAGTAAAGGAAATCATGCTGCTAAATTGTGCACGTAAAACAGGAAAGGGGATTAAAATTCTTGAATTGTACTCTTAAAAATGGTTACACGGCCTACTCCTTGTCAGGTGCCTTATTTAATCTAATAAGACAATTTAATGGGATCAGGTGGTAGTGAAGAGGAAGACGGTTTACTGCATGTAAACACGCGCAGACGGGCACATTAAAGGGCCGGCACTGAAGACGGGTTCATTATTGTCACCTCGACATCCCTTCAACTCCAAGATGTGCCACTGTCACAACTTAACGTCTCTTACCTGCCGAGGGTGGGTAGGGCTTGAGCTCCCCTCGTAGGCTGGGTCAGGTGAGTGCCGTGCCGCCGCCTCCCTGCACCGGTCCGGGGCAATTGCTGTTGAAACTGTCATCACAAAGGTTACAGGGTGGTTTGGCCTTTAAACACAGTTCTTGTGTACACACACAGAGAAGTGGAAACAGAGGTGCAAGAATTCCACATCCGTGAAGCAAAATCGTTCCTGAAAAAGAACATCCAAGTGTTTATGGAGCCCAGGGAAGGAAGGGCCCCCCAAGTACATGAAATGGTGTGAGATTTTATTCCTGAGAAAGGGACAAAATGATGGCCGGTCAGGCGCGAAGCAAGAAAACGCCCACCGTGAAACGGACAGAATGCCCAGCTGGGCCTTGGGACGACGCTCTGGAAACAAGAGCGAACCATCTTTGAAGAAACCACGGAAGGCGCTGATGGCCCGGCGGTGACCTTGTGTAGAAAAGCATTCGAAAGCACTGAGCATCCGAATCAAACAGGGATTTGGGAAAGCCGGGCTCCGAAAGCCAAGAACTTTGAGGAATATAGGAACCTATTTGCTTTACCCGGGTTTTGTTTCCTTTTTCGCGCATGCACTAGAGTGATTTTGAGTCTAGAAACTGGTAACTAACTCTAAAAAATAAAATTATCTCAGTACTAACGTGTGCAGTGGCGAGAAGACATTTTGTCAGATTCTAATCGGCAGGGCGGCTAGAGCTGCTGTGATCGCAGCAGGCGGAGCACAGCCTCTGCTCGGAGGAGCTCTGCAGACACCTGGAACCAGTGGCGTCAGCCAGCAGGCCTTGACAGAGACACCTGCTTACACCTTTCTCACCAAGGGAAGTCGAGTGGCCGGCACACGTGGGAATGCAGCCGTGGTCGGGGTCCTTCTCACTCCCAAACTCGAGGCCAGCACGTGGCCAGAGTCCTGACAGCCGCTGGAAACTGGGTGAGCCAGCAATCGCACTCTCTCAGGAATTCACTTTCTGTCTGTAAAGTGAGCTCCGCAGACTGGCTGATCTCTAAGATCCCACTGTGTCTGAATCTGATGATTGCATGACAGAGTGAACACACACACACACACACACACACACACACACACACTGAGGTAGGGACTGAGGGGTCTACGAAGAAGAGCTGTGATGTTGTGGCTGGGTTTATTGGGGGTAAGAGCTCTCTACCTGACTAGACTAGCGTTGCGCTGCCCTGGTGGCTTTGTGGGTTAGGTGCCTGGCTGCTAACTGCAATATCAGCCGTTCAAAGCTGCTCCAAGGGAGGAAAATGAGGCTTTCTACTCCGTCAACAGTGAAACAAGCAAACGAAACTCACAGCCATCAAGTCAATTCTGACTCCAGGTGACCCGAAAGGGCAAGGTAGAACTGCCCCTGGGGTGGTTTCGAACTGCTGACCTCCCAGTTAGCAGCCCAATGCACATCCACTACGTTTCCAGGGCTGCTGTAAACAGGTACAGTCTCAGAAACACACACGGGCAGTTCTACCCTCTCCTATAGAGCCTATATGAGTTGGAATCAGCTTGACGGCAGCGAGTTTTTTGAGTTTAGATTAGGAGAGGTTTTGCTCAGCATCTAGGGTCAGTGAACTGCTTTTTAGGCCACCAATGCCTTCATCAAAGAAGAGACACCAGGATGGGTATGTGACTTGTCCAAGAGCACACAGCAGGCCGACGGGACATTTGGAAACCATCCTCTCAACTTCAGCTCATCTGAGGCCTGCTGTGAATGCTTCTGCCCCACCGCCCTCGGAGGCTCAGGCCTGAACTTTGTCCTCCCTGGATCTCAGTTTCCCCTGCTGAGACAACATGAGGGGGGACTGGTCACTCTCGGATCTCTGCTCCCGGGATGCCGGCATGCCCAGGGACCTGCTAGACAGGAGACATAGAAAAGGGCTCAGAATCCAGGCCTCCAGGCCCCAGTCTACGCACACCCTACTTTGGGGGTCCCTGGGAGAGAGACACAGGAGACATTTCCCCAGTAGCAGCGCTGGTGGGGTTCGGGACAAGCTGGAAAATAGCACTGGGAACTCCCAGACCCCAGCTTCTCCTGGTGTCCAACTGGCCTGAGGCTGAGTGGAGTGGGCACTCAGTCCAGGAGGTCACTTATCAGGCACTTCGGCCTTCTGAAGGCTTCAGGGCTCACTGCCCAGAGACATGTCCTGGTGGCTCCGCTCTCGGTGGGGGTCCTCCTCGGCCTACACAGCCTTACTACCAATACCGAGGCTCACGATGGGCTGCCGTGAGCCAGGGGCTGCCCTCGGCACTCCTAACCTTGAACCTGCTCCCAAGAGGTGAGTTTTGAAATTATCAGCCCCGTAGTAAGGGCAAGAAGGAGTAAAGACCAGAGCTGGCCTACACTGCAGTGGGACTAGAGGCCCTCAGCTTCCTCAGTCAGCCCCAGGTTGACTCCTCCATCCCCCAGCTCCTAGGTCCCTGGACCATCAAAGCCATCCCCCTGCCTCCAGGCTCTGGGAGCTGCCACCTGGCCATGGTTCCAGGGAGGAGGTAAGGCGAGCTTAATGGCTTATGGGTGATTAACTGCAAGAAAGCAAGCCCAGAAAGAGACACAACATCCCTTTATGCCCCAGAAGGTCTGTCACAGCAAGCAGTTGTTTTCCATCCCCACCAAAAGGAAGAGCCGCAGGTCAGCCAGCAGGTAGACACCCCAGCCATCCGAAGGAAGGAAGGGTCTTGCTTGCACATGTGTCACCGTCCTTCGGGGGAGAGGTTTGGGCGCTGCCACGGCCAACAAAGAGAGGGGCTTAGACACCACCCCTCCAGGGGTTCTCATTCACAGAACCTGATGGGGGCCAGAGTGGGGGAAGGGAGAGGCCACGGGGCAGCAGCCGGGGGTCGCTGAGGGAACAAACACGGAAACCCTGGGACGTCAGTCCTTATCTGGAGCTCACTAATGGGGAACATTAGTCAGCTGTGAAGGCCTAGATGGGGTGATAGGCATGTAGGGTGGGTGGGGAGGGGGGAGGTCAGTGGGGGTGGGGGAGGTGGCAGTCTTTGGAGAGAGGGGGCAGGTACTGGCCTCAGCTCCACCTCCACCCCACATGCGCACATGCAGGCTAGAAGGACCCTATAAAGTCATGTAGCTGGGCCTCCCCGGAGACCCTGAGAGAGAGAGAGAGAGAGAGAGCCAGAGGGCAAGGGTATCCTGCCACCGAGAGTGCTAGAGGCCCCCTCCTCCCAAGGCGCCACAGCATGTGGGAGCTCCGGTCCATAGCCTTCTCCAGGGCTGTGTTCTCCGAGTTCCTGGCCACCCTCCTCTTCGTCTTCTTTGGCCTGGGCTCGGCCCTCAACTGGCCGCAGGCCCTGCCCTCCGTGCTGCAGATCGCCCTGGCTTTCGGCCTGGCCATCGGCACCCTGGTGCAGACACTGGGCCACATCAGCGGGGCCCACATCAACCCTGCCGTGACCGTGGCCTGCCTGGTGGGCTGCCATGTCTCCTTTCTCCGCGCCACCTTCTACGTGGCTGCCCAGCTGCTGGGGGCTGTGGCCGGGGCCGCCATCCTCCATGAGCTCACGCCACCCGACATCCGAGGGGACCTGGCTGTCAATGCGGTGAGTTGCCTGCCAGAAGGTCACTGCTCCCACCCTGGGTGAACCCTGAGGTCTTCCTTGTGGGATGGCCAGGGCAGGCCAAAGGGTAAGGGTCTGTGAGGGAGAGGGAGGGAAGAGGAGAGAGGGAGGGAAATTGCCATCGGGAACACCTTGTAGCAGAGGCGGGATCGTAATGGGCCTGCAGGCCTGCTGGTCGCCCTGTCCTGAGCCTGATGGAGGAGCAGGTCTCAGTGATCCCCACACTCCGGCGGGGGCTCTGCTCCCGCTCACCCAGGGGCTGCGTCCTGGCACAGACGTGCTTTGGGGCTGGGCGGGTCCTGAGGGTGCTAGTCAGAGTGGACTTGATGGACAAGAACCACAAAAGTTCCTCGGCATTCACCATGCGCTGGGTGCCAAGGCAGGTGCCCCTCACAAGCCATGCGCAGACCCTTACCCTGCGAGGTTGGCGTGAGAAGACCGTCATCTCTCGAGGAGGTCAAAGCTGAGGCTCAGAAGGGGCGCATCAGAGACAGCCCTCAAGCCCAGGCTCCACTGCCAAGCCCACCCCCTTCCTGCCCCAGGCCATCTCCAAGGTCTCATTGTGCTAACAAGGAAACGGAGGCTCACAGAGGGGGCGTGGTGGGCTAACAGACCCATCATTTGTCAGGCACCCAGGGGAAAGGGGCCGGTGAGGGTCTCTCCAGACCCTGGGGAAGGTCCCTTGGCCGGTGAGCTAACTGGTGACGACATGGGACCATGGCTAACTGGGCCACTTTGGGAGGGGTGAGGATGCTGGACTCCTCCCTCTTCACCCCCTCCTTCTTCCACCTCCTCGCTGCCTGGGCCGCGTCTGGGACTCTGAGCCAAATGGGTGGGAAGGCGGTCTGTGCCTTCCGCACCACCAATCCCTGTGCCAGGGTCACGGGCAGTGCGCCCACTTCCTAGCCTGCTCCTCCCCAGGGACACCGGCTGCAGAAGCGCTCTGGGATCTCTCTAGAGTGTGCTCAGCGAAGGGGAGGCCTCTGCGCCATTCCCTCCTTTACACAGTGGCCCTTCCGCAGGCAAGGGGCAGAGGTCTTCCCATTGGGAACTTCACTCTTCTTCCAAAAGAGAACATGAGGCTGGGGGCCCGGGGCTGGGAGAGGCTAGAGTGGCCAAAGGGGTGGACAGACACAAGAGTGTGCCCTCTTCCAGTGGGGACAACAGTAAGTTCCGCTGTGGCTAGGAGAGGCCCAGTTAGACCATGCAAGGAACTTACCGAAAGCACCGTCAAAGCAAGCCTCAGGATGCAAGACTGGAGGTGCTCTGTCTCTGGGGAGAGAAGAGGCCATGGGGTTCACCAAGCCTGCTCCTCCCTCATTCCACAGGGACCCTCTGGGGGGAAGCCCCTAAGCTGTTTCTCTGCATTGACCCTCTGGAGGAAGGGAGGAGACCTCTGCCTGACTGGAATAGGACAGAGCAGGTCGCTTTACCCTGAGCCTTGGGATGACTTCCAAGGTGGCCCGGGTGTCCTTTGGAGATGCCGAGAAGGCCAGCCTGTCCCCTGGAAGAGCCACCTCTGTGCCCAAGTGGATGTTAACTTGGTCCCAGGTCCCGAACCAAACTTACTGCCATCGAGGTGATTCTGCCCCATCGGGACCATACAGAACAGGATAGGACTGCCTCGGGTGGGTTTCCAAAATTGTCACTCTTCACAAGAGCAGAAAACCTCATCTTTCTCCGGGAGATACTGGTGGTTCCCAACCGCTGACCTTGTGGTGAGCGGCTCAACATGTGACCGGAGACACCACCAGGGCTAGCCTCTGGGATCCCGCCACCTGAGTGGTAGATGGAGGTTTTCCGTTCCTGTGCACTGGATCACAAAAGCAGTCCCTGGCAACATGGCCCCAGGGTGGTGTGGCACCAAGCCTCTGTCCACCTGGCTCCCGAGGGCACTAGCCAAGGGCCGGGCTCTCCCTGCCCTTGTCTCCAGTCTGCACAGGACCCTCCGGAACCCTTGTGGTTTGTTTTGTGTTTTGCCTTTTGGGGGGTCTCCTAATCCCCATTTTGCGGGGGGAGAAGCTGAGGCTGTAAAGCAAAGTCTCCCAATGGGAAATCTCCAAAGAATCTGCCTCCAGAGTTCCTCCCACTGGCCCCCCACTCCCCTCTACCCCCACCCCCCTCTGCTGGCTCCTTCTTGGGATGACAGGCGAGAGAGCGTTAAGTCACACCCTAGAGACTCAAGGGCACTAGCTCAACAACTAAGACCCAAGGTGGGGATGTGTGGGAGCCTACGACTGTCATAGCTCCGCCCAGCGTGGTGCCCGGCCCCAGAGCACAGGGGTGTAGGGCCAGGATCCAGCGCTGGGCAAGGCCCAGTTATGAAACCGCCTGTCTGCGCTCTTCTCAGGTTCCCTCCAAAGCCACGGCAAGGGGATGACGGGGGTGGGGCATGGCAGGACAGGGCTCCCTTGCCCCCACCCTTCTCCACAGGCCACCAAGGGAGCAAACCCACCATGCGACACGGGCAACACTGTGGGGACCAGGCAGGGCTGTTTGCAGAACTCACGGTGGGGAGAAGGGCCACCCTCCGTACCCCAGGCCTCGGTGACCAGTTTCTAGACTCTGTCCCTGTTCCTTTGGCCACAGAGAGACTCCCGTCTTCTCATGACACTGGTATCTTTCGACCTCGCTAGAGAGGAAGTGCTTCCCGTTGCCTGACGGAAAGCCTTCCTCCCCGGCACCCACCCTCACGGAAGCCTCTTCCTTTCTTGTTCTTCAACATCCTTTGGGTCTCACACCTTGAGGGCATAGCTCAGCCCCCAAATCTAATGGGCCCTGGAGTCTAATTTCCCCCCTCGGCCTGGAGGACCCTGGGCTGCTCGGGGCTCTATCCCCCAGCCCTTGGACGAGGCCCAGAAAAAGGCTTCGGGAGTTGGGTGCTGAGGCAGGCGGTGAGGAGGCCCGGTGCTGGAGGGCAGGAGCGTGGAGCCAGGGGGGAGCAGCATGTGCTCAATGCTCCCGCCACTCCCTGTCTGTCCCCAGCTCAGCAACAACACAACGGCTGGCCAGGCGGTGACCGTGGAGCTCTTCCTGACCCTGCAGCTGGTGCTCTGCATCTTCGCCTCCACCGATGACCGCCGCGGAGACAACCTGGGCACCCCCGCCCTCTCCATTGGCTTCTCTGTGGCCCTGGGTCACCTTCTCGGGGTAGGTCATGCCCCCTGCTGGTTCCAGTCTTCCCCGAGGCACAGGCACAGAGACCACTGTAGAGACAGACCCAAAGACCCTCTGAAGCACAGGTATTCAGAACGCCCAAGGGAGACACAGGGACAGACCCTCGAGGGCCTGAAACCCAAAACCAATGGACAGGATCCCTCCAGCCTCGGAACACCACAAAACACTCACCCGCCCATCCCTGGCAGCCCTCTGGAGGGTTGACAAGACTGCATATCTTGCAGGGAGCAGACGACCTCCTCTTTGCTCTGTCTCGCATGGAGTGGCTTGTTGATTTGAACCTTGGACCTTGCGGCTAGCCGTCCAATGCTTAACCAGCAGCACCACCCAGGTCCCTTCAAATGAATGATAAATTTTTTTTTAAAAAGAAAATCAACAAGCCCACTGCCATCAAACGCTTCCAGCACATAGCACCCCAGCAGGACAGGATTATGCTGAGACTGTCCCTCTTCACTGCAGCAGGAAGCCTCCTCTTCCTCCCTCAGAGCTGGCTGGTGGTTTCCAACTGCTGACCTTGTGGTTCGTAGCCCAAGGTATAACCACTAGGCCACCACACACAGTTCCTCTGTGTGAAGGCAGAGCCCTGTATCTACAGCAGGGCCTTAACTGTCCACGGCATCGATTCCCCTCAGTTGGTCTCGTCTCCAACACTTAGGGCGATTTCACTCAAGCTCTGGAGAAGGGGACAAGGACTCCCTGCCCTGTCCTCACCTCCCTTCTCTCCCTAACCACCCCCCCTCCTTCCCTTGCAGATCCACTACACTGGCTGCTCCATGAATCCTGCCCGCTCCCTGGCCCCTGCAGTTGTCACCGGCAAGTTTGATGACCACTGGGTAATAGCAGAAATTTCCCCTCCCCAGAAATCTCCTCAGAGGGAAAGAGGACAGGGATGGTGGGAGGCTCAGCAGGTGTGTCCCGGACCATTCCCCGTCCACCAGCGGCCCTGTGGAGCCTTAGGCTCCACCTCCCAAGCCTGACACCAGAGACTCCGTCTCCACATCTGTAAAATGGGCACCATGCCTGTTTTTGCCGCACTGGCATTCTAGGAAGATGGAGTGAGTACATATACACCAGGTGCCAGGACCTTTGCACTAAAGAGATTTATTATGTATAATAGCTAGCAGTTAGATTTTTTTTTAAATTATTTAACTCTCATCTAGGTCTTAGCTATGCGTGAGCTCTTTAAGTGTTTTTATTAACAATTACTCAATCTTCATAACAGCCTTCAAACGCTCACTGCTCTCAAGTGGATTCTAACTCATAGCGAGCCTATAGGACAGAGTAGAACTGCCTCTGTGGATTTCTGAGACGGTAACTCTTCGTGGGAGTAGAAAGCCCTGTCTGTGGTTCCTAGTCCCATTAGGAAGTAGGTATTATCCCAGTGAAAAGAAAAGGAGGCACAGGGAGAGTGGAAACCTTGCCTGTGTTCACAGTCAATGGTGGATCAGGAGTAGTTCATAGTTCACACTAGCACATCTTCCCCAACAGCTCCAGCATTGCTTTTACAAACTGAAACCAAACTCATTGCCAGTCAGTCCGTGCCAACTCACAGCCACCCAATAGGACAGGGTAGAACTGCCCCTGTGGGTTTCCCAGACTCTTTGCAGGAGTTGAAAGCCTCATGGTTCTCCCTCAGAACTGCTAGGGGTTTCAAACTGAAGACCTTGCCATTAGCAATCCAAAGCATAACCCGCTACGCCACCCTCGGTATTGCCACTACTAGCTACCAAACCAGCTGCCACCACGGCAGCTCATCCTTGTAGCCATGCCACAGGTGTCGGCCAAACTGTGCTCCCAGGTTTTCTGTGACTGAGGCTTCTGTTTTCAACAATAGATCACTAGGCATGTCTTTGGACCCTTCTGAGTCCAAAGACTCAGTGTAAGGAATCCTGATGGCAGCCGGCTCTTTCTGGAGAAAGATGTTTGCATAAAGATTACAGCCTAGGGACCCTACAGGGGAGCCCTGGCTGGTGACTAGGTGGTTTCCAGTTACACTGTGATTGGCAAGGTAGGCAGTTCGAAACCACCAGCTGCTCCTCAGGAGAAAGACGAGGCTCTCCACTCCTGGCACACAGTTACAGTGTTGGAAACCCAGGGGGGCGGTTCTACGCTGTCCTATAGGGCCTCCGTTCAATGGCAGTGACTTTGAGGACGTCTATGGGGCACTGTTCCCTAAGACTTACAGGGCCACTAGGAGTCAGAATTGACCCCCACACCGTGAGCCGTTCCACCAGCGGGACCCCATCACTGAGGACATGATTCAGTATTTCAGGACAGTCTCTTAATCGCGTGTGAGGCCACCCCTTCCCGACGCCAGGGCGCCCATTAGTGGGAAAAGGAGAATGGCCCCGAGACCACCCTGGGCTTTGCAGGCTTGGAGGGCACCAGGAAGGTGCAGTGCCCACGTGCCCCCGCCGGGCACACCCACAGGAGCCACCCCTCGCCAAGGCGACCAGTGCCTCTTGGTGCGTGGCGTCCAGCCGCCCTCTCCTCTCGCCCCCCAGGTCTTCTGGATCGGACCCCTGGTCGGTGCCATCCTGGGCTCCCTCCTCTACAACTACGTCCTGTTCCCCCACTCCAAGAGCCTGTCGGAGCGCCTGGCCGTGCTGAAGGGGCTGGAGCCGGACACCGACTGGGAGGAGCGCGAGGTGCGGCGGCGGCAGTCGGTGGAGCTGCACTCGCCGCAGAGCCTGCCCCGCGGCAGCAAGGCCTGAGCGTGTCGCCGGCCGGCCACCCAGGCGCCGAGGAGCTGGGGTGACCGCCCGTGGGGCCCGGGACGAAAGGTCCTCCGTGCCCCTCCTCTGCCCCGGGTCCGGAATCGTCCCCAGTGGCGAGTGCAGTTGCTCTGGGACCGAAAGGCCGGCCAGTGAGCAGGGTGGGAGGGGGCGCCTGGGAGGCTCAGGAGACTGTAGGTGAGGGGCGGACCCTTGTGTGTGTGTGTGTGTGTGTGTGTGTGTGTGTGTGTGTGTGTGTCGGGGTGCTTTGAAAGGGCTGCCCCAGGCTGAGCGTTGCCGTTGTCTGGCCTGGGCCCAGGTTCTGCTAGTGCCCATGTGTGCATATTCTATATTCTAGCCCCACGTGCAGGGTTGTGTCTGCCCCTGAGCGTGAGCAGGTGCAGCTCTGGTGGTGTACATGTGCCAGGCTGGCTGTCTCCCCCCGCCCAGCTATGAGCCCGTTGACCCCTCTTTCCCCCACCTGCAATAAAACCAAACCACAGTGGGCAACCCAAGAGTCCTTGCTGCCTACCAGCCCTGTGGAAGTGCTTCAAGGAAGTGCCCCCAGGAGAAGGTGTGGGTCTGGAGGGCTCTGGTCTCCAACCCCTACTCTGGCTCTCCTGGAAAGCCATACCCTCACCACCTCCCACCCTAAACTTCAGCCCTGAACCCCAAGACTTGCCAGGATCCATTGCTGGAGCTGCCAAGCAGAGGGCAGCTTCCCCACAGTGGCCTCTGCAGAGTGGAGGGGTGGGTGGCCAAGACCTCCTCCCTTTTGGCCCTGAAAAGACCTCTCCCCAGGAGAAGCCTGGCCTGTATACTGATCTGTGTGCTCTCGTGTGTGAGTGTGAGTGTGAGTGTGAGTGTGTGTGTGTGTGTGTGTATGTGTACTAGAGACCCCAGGTCCCAGCCCCCCCACCACCTGAGATTAGCCTTGATTGCAGCAGGAAGAACAAAGAGCCTTTGTAGGCCCCAAGCCTTTGTCTCCAGAGAGGGGGAGATTTGCAACTAGACACTTCTTGAAAGGAAACACTCATTTCGCAAGTGAACCCTCTCGCCCAGCACACACCTACAGCCAAGTGGGCAAGGCACTCCGGCATGCAGCCACGGGCACCAGGCAACACCCCTCCAGCACCTGCCACATGGCTGCCCCCTCTGTAGGCAAGAGCCCTCCCCTCAGGAATCTGTTACCCTTCCTTCTCCCCACCCCCGAGCCTGCCACCCCAGCGCCTACCCCTGGGGCAGTTGGGGGGGAGAGGGGAGTGGGGAGGGCGGCAGGCTTCTAAACTCCCAGGCCCCTGCAGTGGTTCTCAGTTGAGATTAGTGCCATGATGCATGTAAAAGTTCCTGTGGAGGCTGTAATTCCTAATGCCATTATCGCTTGTTATTAGGATCATTTTCATTAGGTCTGCTTCCTGGGCGGGGAGCCACAGAAGGGCCTGACCCTCAGCCTCCTGTACCCAGGCTAGTGGACAGTCGAGGAGAGCCCTGAGAGCCCAAGGCTCAGGCAGAAGGGGACCTGTTTTGAGGGGGACCCACCTTGTCCAGCCTCTTGACCTCTCCTGACCCTGTGCTCATGCTGGTTCTTGTCCCACCCACTTCCCCAGCCCTCCCTCTCAGGCCTGCTGCATAACTAACCTAAGGTCAGACCTTGAATTCCCACCTCCCTGCTTTCTAGGCTTCTGCCTGTGTCTGTCCCCATGGGCAGTGCAGCAAAGCCTGCCTGGGCACCTGAGCTGGAGCAGGACTCAGGCCTCCAGCCACTGTCCCCTGCCAGAGATGGACCCTGTTTGGGCAGCATCTTTGTCATTCCCACCAGAGCTCCACTATCCCCAGCCCTCCCTTCCATGCCCTCCCCTGTTTTCTTTGACCAACATGGCTTCCTTGAGGGAAACAGAAGAGCTTCACTGGGCCATGGGTGCTACAGAGATGGCTCCCTAAACTGTCCACTGCTGGTGACATCGCCTGGCCCTACTGCAGAGCAAAGGGTCTAGCCAGAGGCCAAGGTGACCTCCAGGACTAGGCTCCTGGTAACCCAGAGTTTTTGCTCTAGAAGTTCAAAGGCAACAACCTCCTCCCCATCCCACTTCCTCCCAGCTGGGCTGGGCGCTGCAATCCTTCCCTAGCCTGCTCACGGGTTTAGGGTTAAATGAGCTCATGTGTGCAAAGCACCCAGCAGGGAGGCTGGTGCCCAGGAGATGCTCAGGGGGTGCCAGTTCTCCACTCCCAGCAGTTGGCATCTTGCCCTGACCTCAGACAGGTCTCTAGGTAGAATAGCACATTGTGCTCCTGATGGAAAGGTTGGTAGCTCCAACCCAAACCGTGGCGCCAAGAAGGAAAGGCCTGGTGCACTGGGTCCACCAAGATTACAGCAGGGCTTGACCATTCCCAAAGCCCTCCCTTATCCTCTCCTGGGATGATCCCCCACTCTGTCAGATAGGCAGAGCAAACAGTCTTCTTCCCATTTTATAGATCACAAAACTGAGGCTAAGAATCTGGCTGAAGGCCATACATACAGCTAACACACAGCGGAACCGAGATTTGAACACAGGTCCTTTTGTTTAAAAAAAAAAATTCTCATGATCGCTCAGAAGTCAAGGGGCACTGGGTCTGAGGAAAGTCCTAGGCTCCTCCTGGGAGTTGCGAGGCAAGCTGGAGCACCCAACGGGGCCTCCCAGCCTAGGCCATTGTCTTGGCCTGGGCACAGAACTCAGAGGGGAGGGGCGGCGGCAGGGTCAAGAGAAAATGACAAAAAGCCAAGCCCAGGGCTGGTTTCTGCCTTTGAAGAACTTCCAGGTTGGGGAAAATAGAGGTCTGACACCCCCCTACACCAGGCAGACAGGGCAGCATGGGAGGCCAGTGGATAGACCTCCAGGTTCCCAACCTGCAGACAAAGAAGGTTCTCAGGTGAGGGCAGGGGCTGACTGACCACGAGGCCCATTGCCTTTGGTTCCCGCTTTGTCCCGAAGACTTCACATCGGCACCTGCTGCTCTGATGTGGTTCTGTACCTTTAAGATGGGATTTTGTATAGACACCTTGCCTGCCTCCCAGCTAGATTGTAAGCCCACTGGGGGCAGGGATCCTGTTGGTTCTTCCACGTTCTGCTCTTATCTCCCCTTCCTCGTGTCTGCCCGACACGTGCTCTGCACATAGTGAGCATCAATAAATGCTGCTTGGATCAGAGAAATTGCCAGTGAAGTGCTGTTTCTTCCACAGCTTGGACACAGGCACTATGGCTAAAGAGGCCAGAAGACAGGCAGGCGCATCGTGAGTTTCCCAGCTCAGAGCTGCCGGTGGGAAAGGTACACGGGGCATTTCCACATTGAACTGAACAAGGAGGCCTGCGAGGACAAAGCCCACTGCCTTTGAAGGAAGGTTCCAATCCGGCCAAAATGGGCATCCCAGGCTTTCAGATACAGGTAGCATCCTGGCGAGGGCCCCAAGGGTCTTGAGCGATACCTGACACTCAACATGTCCCCAACTGACCTCCTGGTCTTCCCAAAAATCCGCTCTTCCCACAGTTGGTCCCCTCTGGGTTCACAGTAACTCTGCCTTCCCAGTTCCTGGAAGCAACAGACTCAGAGTCATGCTTGGCTGCTTCCTCGCTCACGCCCACTGGAGGTCCGTCAGGAAAGCCGGGCAGTTCTGCCTTCAGACTGGATCCTGGATGCACCGCCCACCGCCTTCCCTGCCTTCCTCATCTCTCCCAGGACCACCGCCATGGGCACCACCCCAGACCCTGCCGGCTGCTCTTGAGGCAGCAGCATGACGTGTCAACAACTTGGTCAGACCCCGAGTGGCTGATGCTCAGTGGTTTCCCGTTTCTCTCAAAGGAAAGCCCACCATTGCACCGTGGGGCCCTGGGTCCAACCCAGATCTGCCTAGGCCACTCTAGCTTCTCCTCCCGCAGGGCCTTCCCGATTTGTCCCTTCTGCTCCAGCAACATTAGCTGTTCCCTCCACCTGGAATGCTCTTCCCCTCGACATCAGCAGTCTCTCCTCCAGGGCTTTGCTCACATGTCACTTTCTCAATAAGATCCTGACCCCAAACCTCAGAACTCATGACCATTCATGAGTCGATGCTGACTCACCGTGACTCTGGGGCAGGGTAGAACTAACTGTCCCTGCAAGTTCCTGAGACTGGAACTCCTTATGGGAGTAGAAAGCCTCGTCTTTCTCCTGACACCTCATTTAAAAGTAGACAACCCCTACTCCAACCATAGCATGCCCGGTCTCCCTTCAAATGCATCATTAGTTCTACAGCACTCGGGGACCCCATTACATATAATATACGTGGAAGTGCTGATTACTCTGAGGAGCTCTGGTGACATAGTGGTCATGCATTGGGCTGCGATCCGAAAGGTCAGCAGTTCGAAACCACCAGCTGCTCTGTTCCTCCTCCCTTAGGAGAAAGATGGAACTTTCTACTCCTGCAAAGAGTTTTCGTCTCAAAAACTCACAGGGGCAGTTCTACCCTGTCCCATAGGGTCACTGAGTCATCATCAACTCAATGGCAGTGAATCTGGCTTTTTTTCATGGATTACTGACTGTCTCCTTTCACTAGAAGACAAGCTCTACAAAGGCAGAAGGTTTTGTCTGTTTCGCTCTGTTCTAGGGGAGAAAAATCACCGTCATCCAGTCAATTCCCATTCATTGCGATCCTGCAGGACACGGTAGAACTGCCCCTTTGGGTTTCCAAGGTTGTAAGCCTTTCCTGAAGCAGAAAGCCTCGTCTTTCTCCCTTGAAGCCATTAATGGGTTGAACTGTTGATCTTGTGGATTGCAACCTGAGTTAGTTAATTGTGCCAAACTGGCCGATAATCACATGTGGTGCTAATTGAAAGGCGGAGGGATAAATGGGTGGTGAGCCTCACCTTTCTAGTTCTCGGGTCTCTTGTTTTGTGATGGTTGCACCGGGTGCAGCAGCCTTAGCAGTTCCCTGCTTCAGCTTGCAAGATTGACTTCCTACAAG